ATTTCTAAATATTGCAATTGATAACATTTCCTTTTTTATTATTTGTTCAATACATTTAACCAATAAAGATTTTGAGTCTTTTTCTTATATTCACCACAAATTGCAGAGTTAATCAAAAGCATCTTGTATGCCTGCTTTAAGGCATTCTGTGCAGAGGTACTTGGGAATTTTGGTCACTCTGTTATATGCCTGGTGTGACTCTTCACAAAGAGAATTCTTTTTTTTTTTTTTCACCCGAGGATATTTTTTCCATTGACCTTTTAGAGAGAGTGGAAGAGAGAGGGAAAAACAGAAAGAAACATCAATGTGAGAGAAACCCATCAATTGGTTGCCTCCTGCACATGCCCCAACCAGGGCCCGGGCCAGGGAGGAGCCTTCAACCAAGGTGCATGCCCTTGATTGGAATTGAACCCAGGACCCTTGGTCCACTGAGCTAAACCTAGGCTCAGTGCCACAAAGAAAATCCTGGCTAGGGCCACAAAGAAAATTCTTAATTTAACTCTTTATTGCCTGAATTTTGAAACATTTCCTTCTCTCTGCCTTATTAAGTAGCAGCCTTAATAATACCCAAGCCCAAATATAGTGATCGGCTCCCACATCTGTGTCAAGAAGTGTTTGTCATCTGATGGACATATGTGCCTTCAGCATTTCTCAGATACAAAGCCAGCATCCACCTACGAACTTGAAAGCTCTGATAAGCTTCAAATGATTGATTAAAGTTATATTTCAGCAGTTAGTCATCATTTCTTATGTTCTAAAAGAGATACTGCTGAACTAAATGATCTTATTCCAAATAGAGTAGGAAAATGTAATGATTCTGGCATAGCAATAGATTTTTTTTAAAAAAAAAAAAAAGAACCTTTATACACACACTTGCACACACACATTTTTTAACCCTGTAATATTCATCTTGGGAAACTATCCTAAATATAGAGAGAAATCTTATGTAGAAAGTTATTCATCACTTTACTTATAGTCACCAGTAAATCGAGAATAGCCACCATTAGGATAATGGAATATAATGTAGCTATTTAAAATTATGTTTCTATAATATATGGAAAAGTCCTTACATAATAGTTTTTTTAAAAGGATATAACATTATATAAACTATACACATTGTGTTTGCAGCTGTGTAAGAAATACATAGAGCCTGGCTGGCATGGCCCAGTGGTTGAGTCTCCATCTATGAATCAGGAGGTCACGGTCCAATTCCTGGACAGGGCATATGCCCAGGTTGCAGGCTCGATCCCCAGTGTGGGATGTGCTGGAGGCAGCCGATCAATGATTCTCTCTCATCATTGATGTTTCTCTCTCTCCCTCTCCCTTCCTCTCTGAAATCAATAAAAATATATTTTTTAAAAAAGAAATACATAGGAAAAAGTCTAAAAAGAAATGCCCAAAATTTTAATTAGTTGCCTTAGGACTCCATGGTCGGCAAACTGCGGCTTGCGAGCTACATGCGGCTCTTTGGCCCCTTGAGTGTGGCTCTTCCTAAGCCTTAGGAGTACCCTAATTAAGTTAATAACAATGTACCTACCTATATAGGTTAAGCTTAAAAAATTTGGCTCTCAAAAGAAATTTCAATCGTTGTACTGTTGATATTTGGCTCTGTTGACTAATGAGTTTGCCGACCACTGCCCTAAGTGATAGGACTGTCATTGATTTTCCCCCCTATTATTACACATATCTTACAATGAGCATATATTACCTTTTTAATACTAAAATACTTTAAGAAGAAAGAAAAAGTATGCAATAAGATATTATATATTATAATTCTAAGATGATATTTTATGTGAGTCATTTTGAAAGAATTATACTTTTGAATTATGGAAGAATTATATTTGCTTGAATTTAGAAATGAATTGGAAGGCAGCTTTATGAAACTGTTATTCTGCTTCTACTTGAGACCTAAAATGAGAAGCATGACTCAGTTCTTAATACTTATGAAATACAATTAAGATAGGCACTCTTCTTTTTTTGTTTGTTTTTTTCAAATGTTAATCCTCACCCAAGGATATATTTTTCATTGATAAGAGAGAGAGAGAAAGAATCATCAATGTGAGAAAAAATCATCCATTGGTTGCCTCACGTACACACCTCGATCAGGGATTGAACCTGCTACCCTTCGGTTCACAGGATGACACTAACCAGTGAGCACGCCAGCCAGCACAAGATGGCACTATTCTTTATTCAGATGTTTCAGTTACCTAAGCAACAACAAATGTGCCATCCATTAGAAATGCTTTCTGTTCTGTAAATAGAGCCTTGTTGGTGCTGATTTTAAATGCACATGGCAAAGGCATGAAATAGTTCTCCAAGTAGCTTTCTGTGTCTAGAAGTGTGATTTTCCATGTCTAAAAGTGCCTGAAACAACTACTGTAACATTAATGGAATTATTAAAATATATTTTTAGTTAATAGTTGCCTTCAGTTTTTAACTAGCTATATCTTGAGCATGTATCTATGTTGTTTGTATATAAATATGAGCTGTTTTGCCTATTGAAGGTTATACTACAGCTTGGGGAAAATAATTACTATCTGAAAATGCAAAAGAAAACTAAGCAATAAAGTCAGTCAGAATACATTATTTTTTGAATGGTATTACTTTCTTAAAATACAACAAAAGAAGCTATGTTCATAAGCTTCTATACTTGAATATTTATGAGAAATTATTTTGACTGATTTTAATGTGATTGCAGCTAGCTTTAATCCTAACCCCTTTCTCTCCCTAAGTTAAAAAATAAATGTAAAAAATTTTAGAAAAATCCTCCATCAGTGAAAATGCACAAAAATCACACAGACACCAAAGCTTGAAGTAAAAGCTCTAATGCACATTTAACCTATTGTTCTCACTTTAAATTCTATACATCTCTATTGACTTGGAATTGTAAACTTTGAAACCTTCATCATAGGATCATAACAGTCTATGAATTTGGAATGTTGGACTCAATTTTTCACAGATGTATTTTGTAGGTTTTGTTAGTCTGAAATTAGAAACGTCTCTAAACCTTCTGATTAATAGTTGTTAGCCTCATTTTGAATGAATACTTATGGCCACCACATGTTGTCAGGTACTGCTTAGGGCAGCGGTTGCCAACCTTTCAGACCTCACGGACCACCAGTTGGTGACTGCTGGCTTAGGGTATTGGTTTCAAGGGCTTCCCTTAGTGTTTTGGATATACCAAGATCAGCCTCTGAGGGATATGTAGAGAATATATATTACAGCCTTAGGTTTCCTTGCCTATTATGCGAGTATTTTAAAGAGTACATATAGATAGATTTTTTTTAAGTTTTGCAATTTGCTATAGAATACATTTATTTTAAATATAGAAAGCATAAGATGTATCATATAAGGTGGCAACTCAATTTCTGTGTGGGCTGTTTAATTGAGAGACATTATTTTCAGTCTCCTTCTTTTGTGAGCTCTGCTGTGAACCGCAAACTGTGTGCATGTGTATAAAAGGTTAAGAGCCCGGGTAGCTGAGTGGGGTGCCATGCTGTTAGCAGACGACGAAGGCAGTATTACTCACCAGGTGCACGCCGTCAGCTCTGTTGAAGATTCCATCTTCATGGAGTCATCTCATGGTCCACTTTTTCTTGAAGCCAGGTAACATTTCCCACAAGCAGTGGGTTGTTGGCCTTGTTGGAGTTTTTCCAGCTGGAAAAACTCAAACCTAAGTAGTCTCCTCCCTAACTTTAAACAAACAAATCAATAAATAAAACATTGCCTGTTGAAAGGACTAATTCGAAAGGTGGAATGAATCTGTGTTATCACTTTGCTTTGCAAAATAATAATTATGTAAGGAGTGATTTTTTTTTTTAATAGAAACTGGGGAGGATAAGAAACCGGAGTGCTGAGTGTTGTTTTGCAGGGTGCCAAGCATGGAGCGCTCTGGATTGTAGTATAGTCTTGTTTCCAGGAATGTACAGATTGCATTTTGTGATAACTAATCTGATCACTCTGACTTTTACTGAGGCACAGTAGTTTTATACAATTTCTATTCTTGGCTCTTAACTCTTTTGCATGTAACAGTGTCTTGGTCTTTTGATGATGTATGATTTTTGCTTCAAACCTGTTTGTTTAACTTAGTTGTAAAATAACCTGAACTAGACAGTCTCTCTAAGCTCTGAATTCTACATCACCTCAATTGTGTTCACTTACCTAAAACTTCAGTGACGCTTGAATAAAATGTTCCAACCTTTGCTTTAAAGCTTTATCCTCTTCATGGTAAGCTGTCATACTTGAGACTCTTGAGGGTGCTTAGCAGTGTTATTAACTGAGCATGCTCACAAACTCAGTTTGTGGTACAGGCTGTCCCTGTTCTTGTCATGCATAATATGGCTTTTTTTTTTTTTACATCATTTACTTTTCATTCCATCATGTTACACTATGTCCTTTAGTTGATATCATTGTCACTGCCTGTCTGACTAATACCAGAGTTTGTTTGTTTGTTTTCCTTTCTTTAATCAACATTAACCAAATTAATGCAAACTGGTAAATCTTCCCCACCCCCTTTGCTATTTTTTGGGTAAATTTTTATGGGGCTCAGTATTTCCAAAGTTGACTTTAAGCATTGCTCTTAGAAAAGTATTGTCACTTGTCGCTTAACTGCTTACAAGATAGCTTTCAATTCCTGGGGACTCAAAATTGCACATTAAGTTCCTTTCATTTTGAAGGACCATGGTGGTATTAAAAAGTGGTACATGATTTGTCTAAGTTCTCCATTTCCCATGTGAAGAAAATGTATAAAAATTTAAATGTTGTTTACTCTCAAATCATAGTTCATTGTAAAGACAGTTATTTTTATTGATGTCCACATTGCAAGATAACGATCAACTAAGCAATGTACATGTGACTATACTGATAAATGTTTTTGGTTAAGCATTACCGTATGCAATTAGCCTGACAAGTGTGCTAATACTTCCCTAAAAGTAGACTGTTAATACTGGTGTTTTCATACTAATCATGTTTTCAACATTAATTATATTTTCTGACTACAGGCACGTGACACAAGCTGACCTCAAGAGTTCCACGTTTTGGCTTCGAGCAAGTTTTGGTGCTACTGTTTTTGCCGTTTTGGGCTTTGCCATGTACAAAGCATTATTGAAACAGCGATGATTTAAAACAAAAAAATACTGGCCCCTACCAAAAACAAATACTTTTATGTACATTCTGAATGCTTTAAATTCTGCTAGAAATATTGACATATTTATACATGCAGAGTTACTTTATTAATTATTTGTAATTCGTGCATAAGAGTATTTTAACGATAGTTGTAACTGCAGTATTGGCTAGCATATGGAAAGAAACAGCTTAACAGCCAGACTAAAGTGGCTAAATTCCAGAGGCCAAAAGGGAATGTTTTGTAAATAATGTACATATTCAGGCAAGATATGGTCTCCCAAACTGAGTTCTAGAAATGATATTTCTAGATGTTTCTACATGGTATTGTTAGTGCTCAGTTGGCTCACTCTCCTAGGCTTAAGTCAGTTCAGAGATTGTATTTACTCATGGATCACTTATTTATTTACATTTACTCCGAATGATCTTTGGGTCCTTCAAGTACCGGAGGCACAATTTACCACTTTCTCTCCGTTTGTAAAAACAAACAAGTCATTGTCAGCTTACCAGCACAACCTTCTTTCAGTCACTTGGGTAGGCCAGCCTGGAAGCCACCAGGCTAGCTAGACAATTGTATAACTGAGTGTGAGGAGCTTTAAGGAAGGAGGAGCTAAAGGCAATTAGAGGTGTTACCTGCGCGATTATGTTGCTTCCTTTGTCAGGATGTTGAATTTTATAGCCCTTTCAATCAAATGAGAAAAAAGATTTGTATATTATCAATGTTTTTAGTTCAAATAAACAGTCACCACTGCAACAATTGAATTTCCTCCCAAAGTGTAAATCATTCTACAAGGGCTGTGTCTGTCCTAGTGATTCAGCAGCTGCATGTATCATGAAGTGTTCTATGTCTGTCTGGGATAACCTAGAAGCAGCACTTTTTTAAATGGTAAAATAAGTCTAATGAATATAAACTCTCATGATAAACCTATTTTTTCCATCATTGACCTTTTCAAGTATTTAAATAAATGACCACTGTGTACTGTGATCCTGGGTTTTGTGTCTTACAAAGTAAATATTCCTGTATAGATGTAAGTGAAATCCTGTGCTTTCTATCTTCCTACCTTGAAAGTACTCATTATATATAAAAATATAATACTCATTAGGAAAAAAGACAAGTATGATTTGTGTGTATAATAGGAAATCAAAGACTAGATTGTTGTTTTCCTCTGCACACACTTCACTAGTGTTGTTTCTACTCTAATTCACATGTTTATTTTCTCCTTTAGCGTGGACTTTCCCCCTTTGCTCTTCTGAGAAATGTTTTCTCATAAGATCACACTTCTCTTTTTTTTTTAATCTTTATTATTGAAAGTATCACATAGGCCTATGGTCCTCCTTTTCCCCCCATTAACCTCCCCCAGGCCCTCACCACCCCTTTGTCTGTGTCCACAGGTTATGCATATATGCATACAAGTTCATTGATCTCTTCCCACTCACCCTCCCTTGCCTTCCCTCTGAAGGACACACTTCTTGAGCAGCTACTAGCAGCATAATTTACTGGCTGTAGCCTTGTAAATAATATGTGCCCCCATGTACTTGTGTACTCCCCTCCCCCATTTTATTCCCAACTTGAGGAAAAGGAAAATTAAGTAAAATCTGGCAACTCCTCATTTGCATTATTTTCTGAGAGAATTCCATTTACCAAATAAATTTGTCAGTTACACAGCTTCCAATGACAGTTAAGTCTTCCCTTCCAAGTTCTTCCCTCTTCAGACTAAACCATGAATATTCCTTATAAATTGTTGCATTTGTGAGAAACAGGGGCAAGAAGGTAGTTTGCCAAGAGGTAGAAAGTGTTGTATTACTTATTTAGATTTTTCTCTCTTAGTCTTTTTATTTGAAAGTTTAAATGTCCGATTCACAGAAGACAGACAGGCAGTACCCTAGGTCTCCCTGCTCAGCCTAGCAGCCTCCTCTGCTTCAGTGAGGCCAGACAGGGCAGGTTTGCAGAGGGAAGGCTCACCGGTGTCTCCTCTTTAACCTACAGGTTCATGCGAATATTTTTCATTTCACATCCACTTTAGAGACTCGGTAATGCAGGGAGTTACGTGAATAAATGCAGTAATAGGATTCTCCCAGCTTTAACATTTACTCAGAGTATGCAAGCCGTAGGAGTACTAAGGAAATGGAAACTTGAAGATAGGAGATCTTTCACTTTGCACCAATTACATTATCTTTTAAATGGACAATTCTGAGGATGTTTGCTATAACATTTTAATGAATAGTGAGGCAGTCATGTGAAGAAACATCGCTTTGAAGGTTTGCAGTCCTGTGGCATAATGGAATAGCTTAGCTTTACTGAGCACATCAAAGTCTACCGTTTCTTTCCATTCATATAGCTTTCTCTTTCACATTTGACCAAAAACAGCAATAGCCCACATTGTGGGGCTTAGAAATGCTGCAATGGGAGTAGGTTCTGCTGTCAGGGGCTTGGGGAGCACATAACCATTCTGACATGGCTTCTGAAGGAAGCGGGAGGAGGGCTGTGCACGTATGTGCATCACCTGTCAGGGGCAGGCACCAAAATGACAGTGGACTGATGGGCCAGTTTTCTGACCTCAGGGAAGGCGACTGAACAATGAATAGCAGAGGGGAAACGGTAAGGGCTCAGACTCTGGGTGGAGCATAATCTTCCTTAAATAGTCCTCAGAATGGACCTGGTGTTAGCTTTGATGCCCTTTTGTTTGATTTGACCTAATAATAGTCAATATAAAAATATGCACAACTCTTCAAAATGAGTATGTGACCTAGTTTTCAAAAGCATTTATTTGGCATTGTTCTTTCGTTTTTAGTTTTTATTTCATTTTTTTATTGGTTGATTTTAGGAAGAGAAACATGGATTTTTGTTGTTCCACTTATTGATGCATTCATTGGTTGGTTCTCATCCCTTAAAATTTTTTAAAATATATTTTTATTTTTATTGATTTCAGAGAGGAAGGGAGAAAGAGCTAGAAACATCCATGATGAGAGAGAATCATTGATTGGCTGTATCCCGTGCACCCTCTGTTGGGGATCAAGCCCACAACCCGGGCATGTGCCCTTGACTGAAATTGAACCCAGGACCCTTCAGTCCGCAGGCTGACACTCTATCCACTGAGCAAACCCAGCTAGGGCCCATCCTTTAATTTTTAATAGTCCCATGTGTTTTGTAGGAAGTTCATTGGGGTCTAGATACTTTTTGAGAAATATCACATGTCAAGAAAGTAAATTTATGTTTAGAGTATGAGAATGCTCCACACAGGTAGCCTCACTCCAAAAACCTTGACCCCCCCAGATTCACAGCCCCAGTAGCCCACTTATTAAAACATCTAAGCTTAGCAAGTAATTCTTATAACGCAATCAAAAGTCTCCATCGGTGAGAGCAAATGTCTGTTAACCTGTCTGGCCCTCCGCTCTATGGAAGTCTCCACCTGTGAGTATCACAGTGATGTATGTCAGATTTCTCTAGTACATCCCAAATTCAAACACTGTCCCTTCGGCCCCATGGTACACCCACACTTGTCAGACCATTTGTTCCAGTTATTTTCGATTCAGAAAGTGTGGGCACCTTATGAGAAGGCGAGATTTTGACATCCTTAGGAAACACTAACTGTACAGGGCCGTCTGGTTCTAGCCGTATTTTCCAATGATAGTGTTTGGTCTGTTGGTTTCGTTTTCTCCTTCAGCAGAGACACTTGCAGAATTCAGACAGTGAAACAGACATTGCCCATTGCCATTCCTTCTGGGTTTGGAAGCTGCATATTGATGCGCACCCAAGAGGAATTGCCAGTGTTGTCTTCATACACTGAAGAACCCAGATGCCACCAGGACACGTTTTCCTCCTCCAGCATTTTCCTGTTCCTGGCTTACATATAAGTCTTTTATAATCAAATAATCCTTGCAAGTGTTTATTGGAATGATACGGGTGTATATGCTGTAATGTAACTTATGGGTTGCGGACTTTCTCTGTAAAGGGTCAGATAGTAAACATTAGAGATTGCAGCTACTCAATTCTATCCATGGGAAAGGAGTCACAGACATCATGTCAGCAAATAAGTCTGGCTGCATTTCTTTTTTTTTAATTTTTTTAATTTTTATTTTTTTAAAATTCTTTATTGTTGAAAGTATTACATATGTCCCCCTTTTTCCCCCATTGACCTCCTCCAGCCCGCCCCCTTTTTAATTGATTTTTAGAGAGAGAGGAAGGGAAAGGGAGAGCGAAACATCGATCGGCTGCCTCCTGCATGCCCTGCATCCTGGGCATGTACCCTGACTGGGAAATTAAACCAGCAACATTTCAGTGCACAGGACGACACCCAGCCAACTGAGCCATACCAGCACCTGACTGCATGTCAATAAAACTTTACTTATAAGCACTGAAATTTGAATGTCATGTAATTTCCACTTGTCACAGTATAGTCTTATTTTGATTTTTTTGAAATATATTTTTATTGATTTCAGAGAGGAAGGGAGAGAGAAACATCAATGATGAGAGAGAATCATTGATCAGCTGCCTCCTGCACGCCCCCTACTGGAGATCAAGGCTGCAGCTCGGGGAATGTGCCCTGACCGGGAATGGAACTGTGACCTCCTGGTTCATAGGTCAATGCCCAACCACTGAGTCACACAGCTGGGCCATAAGTATAATTTTTATTTTTTTAAAAAAGAACTAATGTCTTTCCTTTCTACTTGTAAATCTTTCAATTTTATTCAAATCTTTCAATTTTATTATATGTGCTGCCAAAGCCAGCACCAAAATTTAAATCTTAAGGTGGTTTACCAGACCCTGCAGACCTGGCCCCAGAATTTCTTTGTCGCCATATCTGCACTCTCCCATATACTACCCTCTAGTCAAGTCCTTCAGCCCTAAAGATGCACCTTGTTCACTGCTGAGCGCTTTGTAGATGCTCCCTTGCTCTTAAACCCTCTCCTCTGAGTCTCAGGAGATCAAGGCCAGGCTGCCAGTTTCCAGGAACTGCATCTTGGTGTTGAGGCTGCACCTGTGCACTTCATGCCCCTGTTCTCAGCATGGCATTCCTGCCCTCACCTATGCTTTGTCCAGAGACCATCTTCTTGACTCCAGAGATTCCGTTAAAGGTTTGTAAGTAGAAGATTGACGTACGACGCAGGTCTTGGCAAATTGCCCTTTCCCCTGTCCCTGAGAAATTGAACCTAGGGTAGCCGACCAGTCTCCATCCTGCCTGGCTGTGCCTTACTGAGGCTCAGATCTTTGCCCCACCTGCCACACTCCTGCCTCAAGGACCCAGGGCGGGTACATAGCTATCTTGCTTGTGTCTAACTTGATTTTTCTTGATTTATGCAACCCTTTCTTGAGAAGCAACTGGACTCAGTCACTGCAGCCATTGTGGAAACACTGGCTAGCAGCCCTGAAAACTAAGTGAGCTCTTAGAGGTATTGGGAATTCACTGGGTTATAGGTAGAGTAGAAACACATGGACTTAAGAGCTAAAACCCAAGTTTGAATCCCAACTTGGCCACATTCACTGTGAAAATTACTTGCTTTTTTTCTGGCTCTGTTTTTCTCTCTCTAGAATGAAGAGTAGGATCATTGAGCACATTCACTGAGCTCTGTCCTTGGAGGGTGTTATTTCACCTTCCTCCTTCCCCCAATAGGAAATCTTTGTCCCACCGCAAGCACCACAGGGTGGCAAGCTTCTACCCCTTCTACACTTGAGCAGAGCTGCACCATTGCATCTGGGCAAGCTGGAGAGGCATGGGTGACAGCCAGGGTTTTCTTTTCCCCAGGTGTTTGGAAAAAATGCCTTGATTAAGTTGTCTTGAGTATTGGGGCCAATAAAATGTCCCTCACCCCATTGTCTTGGCAGGCAGCACAAGTCGCTGAATTTCCTATCCTGCTGCCTACGTTCTCAGTCTCTTCCTGGCTGTTCTACCTCCGCTCAACCTATGAAGTGTCGGCACATCCCAAGGTTCTGTCCTGAGTTTCCTCTATTTTTATTTTTATTGATTTCAGACAGGAAGGGAGAAG